CATAAATGTTAGGCCCATGTGTTAGGTACATATGAGCTGTGCCACTGAATGATAAAACATTGAGTAACCTTGGGGAAGCTATTCAACAGAAACTGCTGAGTTATCACTCTATAATGACAACACAACAACAATCAGCAAGAAACATGAGACACCAAATGATTAGCTCTTTATTGCAGCAGGCAGAAAAATCATGCTGTTTATATAGAAGGAAAGCTACACGATCCAGAGTAATGGAAGGCTTTGGAACAGTCATCAACAACCATAAATGTCTCAGGCTTCAACATATCACTACAGACATTTGTAAACCAAGATCCATTCTCCAGCTTCCATAAATGTGCTTTTTCAAACTCATTCCGCACCTCAGAGGTGTCACTAGAGTCATCTGGAGATTTTGGAATGGGATGTGAAGATGACACCCAATGAAGTGTTCAAGCATTTCCCATTCCTTCTAATAATCCCACACAGTTTGTCTTGAATTATAGTTCCACCCGGAGAGAAACATTTTCTGAATTTAAACATGACCCAATCCTTGAGCAAGCCATTCATTCACATAAAGTGTAAAATTCAACTCAACATTTACATTTTCTGTAAACAGGCTTTAGGTTGGTTAAAGATGGGGGGTGGGTGTTTTGCCTCCCTTTATTTCAATCTAAGAAACAGCTAAGTTTTATCATGGGTTCTGTTGACACCCCTGGGCTTTGTATCTCAAGCTGGATTCTTCTGGCAGTAATGGCAGAACATAATGTTGTTATCAGAAAGTAGTAAAAGCTGCTCAATCTAAATACTTTTCTAATGTAATTATCTCTAACTCTCACAACCCCCATGTTCTCTTTTCTACCCTGAACTCAGTTCTACACCTCAGTGAATCTTCACCTCTGGAAGCTTAAACTGAGCTGTGTGAAAACTTTCTCTGTTTCTTTTTAGAAAAAATTGTGAACACCCCAGCAAACATTTCTCCACCAGGTCATGATCCATCCACCTCATGTCACTGTGTAACTGTATTTGACCACATTGAGCCCATCCCACAGTCTTTTTTGAAGCAGCTAATGTGCAGCATGAAACTGTCTCTTTCCTCCTTTGATATTGTCCCCCTCATCTTCTAAAAGAGGTCTTCCATATTCTGGGCCCCTCTATTCTCTCTATTGTGAATAGCAGTTTATCCTCAGGTGTGGTGCCAAAAAGTTTCAAACATGCTGCTGTTTAACCCTTGTTGAAAAAAAACCTAGCTTTGACCCCTCAATGGTATCCAACTTTAGACCTGTTTCCAGTCACCCATTTGTCTAACAACTACTGGAAAAATAGTTGAAATGTTTCTTGGAGGATCACACTATTTCAGAAGTGGCTTCAAAACTCCACAGCACTGAGATTGCTCTATTGAAGGTCTTTAATGACATTTTCATAGCCACAGATGCAGGTGATTCTGTGCTGCCTGTCCTACTGGACTTTATATCTGCTTTTCACACCATCAACCATCCATCCATCTATCCATTATCTTTTACCCACTTCTTCCATTTTGGGCCACAGGGGGTCACCAGTGCCCATGTCTGGCAATCACTGTGTGAGGGGTGGGGTGCACCCTGGATGGGTCACAAGTCCATCACAGGGCCACATAGAGACAAACGAGACAAACAACCATTCACTCTCTCACACACCTAGGGACAATTTACAGTTGTAGTGAACTAAGCCTCAGGTCAAATCTGGCCCTGAGGGCCTTCCCGGGACAAGAACTGTATTTCATTGATTTGAGTCCAGAAACACAAAACCAAGTCCATCCAGAGACTTTCTAAGTGTGTCCTGCACTGATCAATTGAAAGAACACTCTCTTCTTCTATTATCATTACTTTTTTACAAATGTCATGATAGTCAAAAGTGTGTTTAATTCAAATCATTTTTAAATGTTGAAGTGAACTACTTATTTTAAATCAACTGTGAAACAGTATTAATGATTTTTAATCCTCATTCAAAGTAGAAATCTAGTTAATGTCTGTTACAGAGTAATTGTTCATTTTCTTGATCTTCTGTCTGAAATGAGCAGGTTGTAAGTCGGTCAAACGTCGGAGACAAACGCAAACAAGTTTGTTGGAACGAACTGTCATGTTTTTAAATCCTCTCAGACGTAAATAGAGAAGCTGGCACCTGTTTCCTCCCAACTCGCCTAAACATTTCGCTTGTCTGTCTCAAAAACATTTTCTGTCTGTTCCAAAACATTTTTCTGTTTTTCTGACTTCTAGTGACCTCTTACGTCATAAAAAACACACCCCTGATTAGCTCTTTCAGCCAATCAGGACTTCCCAAATGAACCGGAAACAGAACTCTTTAAATGTCGACACTTCCTAGTTCCAACCAGTGCGGTGGGAGAGCAGTTCAGTTCGGAGGGCAGAACCGAACAGAAAAGTTGCTGGAGAGAACAGGAGGTTCCAGACATGATCCGAAGTTCTTCCGAGTCTCGTGGGAATTATGGAATCTTCCACATCTGAGTGGAACTCTGACGGGCTCACAGCTCATGCGAGTCCAACCGAGAGGTGAGCGTGGTGTGAACGAAGCACCGTCACTACTCCGGACGTTTTCCAACCATCCTACGGAGACGCTGGAAAAGCGTTGAAAGGCAACTCTACACCGAAGTTGGAATTATCCTCTGCCAAGGTAAAGAGTCGATCTTCAACTGCAAGTGTACCGAGGAAAGCTGGGTTCGAATGGAGAGTGCTGTCGTTCTTCTTCAACACACATTTCTCACACACATTTTCTCTCCACTTAACTCCTTCATTTCCCATCTTTAAAACTCTTCTATCTTGCCAGTAATTAGTCCAGATATTCTCAGAAATGTCTGTTGTAAAGCTGCAGAGATACCATGGCCGTATGGTCTCTGATTGTAAAGCTAATTAATTAAGCTGTTGTTGAAATCAATTTGCCAAATTAATGTAAATGTTTGATGTTAAACTTTGATTCTGTTAATAAATGACCGCATTCATTTGATGGGTCAAAGAAAATTAACGTCTCACGTCACTGATCTCTGTCACATATCTGTCAAGTAGCTCGAAAAAGAGAGAACCAGTTTAAATTAAGTTTAATATCAGGTACTTGAACTAGTCCAGATATTATAACATGTAGTGGAGCTAAGGAAGCTAACCGACCTGTCTCACTACACAGTTACCAATCAACCTAACATGCATGTTTTTGATCTGTGGGAGGAAACCAGAGTACCCAGAGGAAACCCACGCATGTACGGAGAGAACATGCAAACTCCACCCAGAAAGGCCCCCAGACCGGGATTTGAACCAGGGACCTGCTCGCTGAGAGGCAGCAGTTCTACCAGTTGCGCCACCGTGCTGCTCCACCATCAACCATGAGATCCTAATTTCTAGGCTGGAGCAGTGGGTGGGCATCACAGGGTTAGCTCTCAAATGGTTTATATCCTACCTCTCTGACAGAACCTTTTGTGTCAACATTAAAGATTTTAGTTCAACATCGGCAGCTCTTCGATCGGGGGTACCGCAGGGGTCCATCCTCGGTCCTCTTCTTTTTTCTTTATACCTGCTGCCCCTAGGTGCTATTTTCCGTAAATATAACATACCCTTTTATTTCTCTGTTGATGACTGTCAAATTAACTTCCCTCTGAAGCACAGTGGTGCACATTCTATTCAACCTCTTTTTGACTGCCTGGTTGTCATCAGGGACTGGATGGCTTAAAATTTCTTAAGTTTTAATGAGAAGACGACTTAAGTCATGCTGTTTCCTCCTAATGGCACAATCAAGAACCACTGTATCGACCTTTCCTCTCTAGCCCCGTTAGAGAAACAAAGAGTCACTAAGCCGGGAGTGATAATGAACCCTTCCATGAAACTTAACAGTCATGTAAGCATGATTGTTAAATCCTGTTTTGTTTTTTTCAATTGAGGCAACTGGCTAAATTCAAGCCCATGCTGTCTAAAAGTAACCTTGAGACAGTAATACATGTGTTTATAACATCCTGGCTCGATTACTGCAATGCGCTTCTGTTTGGAATAAGTCAGACCTCCATTGCACGTTTACAACTGGTCCAAAATGCTGCAGCCCGATTTTTAACTGGTACAGGCAAAAGAGAGCACATTACACCAGTTTTGGCCTCCCTGCCCTGACTCCCAGTTCACTTTCGAATTCAGCTCAAAATAATCCTGTATATTTTTAGATCTCTGAACAGTTCTGCCCTCACTTATCTCGCTGATCTGCTGCAGCCATATGTCCCACAGTGCTCTCTGAGGTCAGCAGATGTTTCTATTGGATCCAGGAACCCATGTTAAGCTCAGAGGTGACGGCCTTCTCTGTTGCAGGGCCAAGACTGTGGAATGATTTACCACTGCATGTCAGGCAGGCTCCCTCTCTCACTGTTTTTGTCTCGCTTAAAAACCCACTTCTATTCCATGTTTTTTGACACTGTGTGATTTTGTTTTTAACCTGTCTGTATTCAACAACGTTAGCCATTTAGTTATTATCTTTTTCCATTTGGATCTATGTATTTTTTGTTGTGTGCTTTGCTTGTTTGTTTCTGCTGTACAGCACTTTGGTTGGCCTTGTTGCTGTTTTAAGTGCTTTATAAATAAAGTGGCATGGCATGGCATGGTATGGTATGGTATGGTATGGTATGGTATGGTATGGTATGGTATGGTATGGTAGAACAAGTCTATTATGAGTTCTTCAAATGTCTAAAAATAGATTTCATTAATCAGTCCAAGCCGGATGTTTCATGTCAAGCGTTACACCCCCAACCACCGATACACCCACTCATCTTCACAACTACTGAATTTGTAATTATATATTTTTGTGTGGATGGATGTAAAATGTTTCACATAAAACTAACTAGCTTAAAAAAAAAATCCTGATTAAAATCTGTTTTTGCAGCAAATCTTGAATAATTTTTTCCTCCTATTGCAGTGACTTTTAACGTAGTTTAAAAAAGAAGCATGGATGACATTTAGTGTTGCTTCTCAGTCTCATTCTCATGTCGGTGCAAACGTGGTTCTCACCCTCATGCCCAGCTCGATGTTTTCGCCTCCGTAGACCTCCATGCCTGGATCCAGCAGGCCGATCTTACCAAAATATTCCCGATCCACCACGAAGGAGCAGCCGATCATAGCTGGCGTTCTGGATGAACACACGGAGAGAGAGAGAGAGAGAACTCTTTGTTAATATTTAATTTCTAGATTAAACGTCTAAAAGATGAGTTTCCATTTTTAATTACAATTAAAACATCTTTGAGACTGAAAGTGTAATTTACTGGATACTAAGAGATTTATCAATTGATTTCTAACAGCTTCCTGCAGAACAGCTTTTACAAATGAGAATTTTAAGATTGCTTTGTTCTTTTTTTTTAAAGCAGTAGTTCAGAGCTTTTAAAGTGGGGTTCTGTAGACAGACTATTAACAATCAATGTCTTATCTGTTGTAGATACTCTTTAAATGGTGTCCGTTTTGAAGGAAAAGAGTTTAATTCTGACTAAAATTATGAGCTAATGACTCGTCTGAGCAGGGCCAAGACCGTCTTCACAAAGGCTACATTCTGTACGCTCATGAAAATGTTTACAATTGTGAATGACATATGAGGTAAATAAGCTGTAGTGACCATCTTTAATGAAGATGACTCCAAAATTTACATAGTTGTAAATTTGTGGTCAATAAATATTTTCTGAGAGTTTAATTAGAACCCTTCCACAAGATCAGGAAACATTTTTTCAACAGTCAATAGATCACATACACCCTTACAAGAATAGACTGCAGTCAGTTTCACATTGCATAATTCTGATACACAGAATTATGTGGATATTTGAAGCACATACAGCTATAGCTGCAGATTACTACAGCACTTTCTGGGCAGTGCTGGTCAGTTCGGGGTGGGGGAGTGCATGCGTGTGCGTGTGTGTGTGGGTGGGTGGGGTGGTACTGTTTTATTTTTTTCCTGACTTTGAGCACTACTTGGAAGGCCTATAGCCTTTAGCTCATCACTGGCCTTTAGCTCATATTGAAATTATTTCTCCATACCAGCATTGAGCAAAGAGATACACAGTATGCGACAGGTGATATATTAATAGTTCATTACCTTTTACCAGAACTTTCTTAAAAAATGTCTGTACCATTGATTTAAACACAACAAAACTTACATGAGAGCTGGAGGAAAAAAAAAAGTGAAAAAAGCTTGAAATAATGCATGACCTTATCTCGACTAGTGAATGTTTCCTGTGTTCACTGGATATTTATCCTTCTACATGTCTTCAACCATGAAGCTCTGGATTAAACAAAAGCCTTGGGTTTGTGCTGGAAGGTGTCAGCAGTAAAAACAAACAAACAAAAAAAAAGAATCTTATTTTTGTTGCTTGAACTTGACAGATGAGAGAAGGACATGGTTTCTCCTTGAACTGAGATTTGTGAAGTTTATCCATAACGATGTCTGTCACTGTGAGCACTGAACAACAACTGCCCTGTATCACACACACAACAACACAAAGGTCAAGTGCCTGTCTGACAAATCTGCCGCCTGCAGCGTCTTCACAGCAGTCAGGATAAAAAGAAGGAAGAGGGTCAAACAGCGTTCAGGGGAGGAAAATAACAAAAAGTGTTCTGTTAAAAGACAAAAACAAAGTAAACAAATAAAACTAGATTTAATAGTTTAGACGTTATTCATAGAGTATTATTTCTCGAGATATTGTGTCTTCAATTTGTTCTTTGAAAAAGTAAATAATGCTCTTTAACGAACGAAACCATTTAAGCTCTAAGACTCATTATGTTTAAAGGTAATTATACGTCTTGAATTTATTGAAAGTAGAAAGGTTGAGAAATGATGGAGATGGAGCCATTTTTATCAAACTGTGAAAATTACATTTTGCACAATTTCATGTTGCTTATATTGGATGGACAAATTCAGGAAGTCTTTTGTCCCTCAAGCCATCAAACTGTTCCACTCCTCCCCGTACAGTAAAAACAGAGCCGTGCAAATCTGTGGTAACCTGGACACTTATGTATGAGTATGTATGTATTTTTATATGTACATATGCATATGTATATACATGTGCATGTATACATATATATAGGTTAATCATAAATTTAGTACTCTCAACCAACTTGTGCACGTTCATACTGTAGTCTTTTTCCAAATGTATGTATTCTGCATCTTTTTTGATCATTTTACAGATACAGATAGTCTTTATTGTCATTTGCACCACATGTGGTACATGTGGTGCAAAAGAAATTATGTACACAGGGTCCCAGTTACATCTAACAATAAAATGTAACAAATGTTTTTTTTTTAAATTAAATAAATAAATAAACAAAATTAAATGTATTGTATGTGTTTTTATTTGTATAGTTAGAGCAAGCTACTGGATGCCTTGAATTTCCCCCTGGGATTAATAAAGTAAGTAAGTAAGTGAAGAAACAAGTAAGTAAGTAAGTAAGTAAATAAGTAAATAAGCAAATAAGTAAATAAGCAAATAAGTACTGTAAATAAGTACTCTATCTATCTATCTATCTATCTATCTATCTATCTATCTATCTATCTATCTATCTATCT